CAGGCTGAGGTGCTGTTGGAGCGGGCCCACGTGGCCACCACAGCCCTGGAGGCCAAAGAGGCCAGGACCCAGCTGTGAAACCCAGCCACCAGGGAGCGCCGTTCAACCACCACCACTGACCAACTGCTAATAAAAAAACTACAATTCAGAGTTGAAGCCAGCCCTGGCATCAGTTTGAGTTGCGTTACTGCCACCTATTGGCTCAAACAAGAAAAGGCCTGTGTCTACGCCACTATACACTCCTAGTGACTTGGCATTAGGTTGAATCATGAATGATTATTTTGGTTTCGTTTTTTAGTTCATGTTTACCTGCTAATAAATAAAATAATTTCTTTTGGTTCATTCTATAATTCAAATTTGAATCTTTTTTTTTTTTCATTTTAAATGTCAAATTGAAAGTTTTAGGCTTTAGATAAATGAATTCATAAATTCCACTTCAGGAATATTTGACTACAGGAAAAAAATCTGCAAATGAAAGGTTTGTTTTTGATATGAGTAGAAGAAAATGGTCTTTTCTAGTTCTGACCTCATGGGGGCAGTATAGGCCAGGAATAGGTTTGATGAGCAGTTATTTCAGCTTTAACAGATGTTTTGGATGTTATGTTTTGATTCTGTTGATCCACCAGGCTGGTGTGTGTGTGTGTGTGTACAGACAGTGGCAGCGTTCATTCAGCGTTTACACACCCTGATGATGTGGCTGTTTGCAGGCTGTTTGCAGGCTGACTCCAGGCTGCGTCAGCGTGGCTAACATAGCAGCGGCTGCCTGTTACATTTGATACTGACTCCCATGAATTATCTCCAGTGGTGCGGCCGCTGTCAGCCGCAGTCTGGAGCAGGGTCAGAGGTCAGGAACGGGCCACCAAGGTCAACCACAGGAAACTTTCTTCAGAGAGCTCAGATGAATGGCCTACAGGGGGCGCTGTACTCATCTGGGTGGGATCATTAGACCCACTTAGACTAATTCTACCTTAGAATATTTCTCTTCTGCTGTGAGGTCACACACCGTTGATTCCTGTGTGTGTGTGTGTGTGGACAGACATGAACTACGTCTCTGTCCACCGTGATCAGAGAAATACTACGACAGGAATACTACTGTGTTGTATTTCTGCAGTATTGCAGTATTTGTGCGGTGGTCGTGGGGATTTGTGTTCGTGTGGAAACCTGTGAAATACTGGAGCAGTGGGATCAATAGGCCTCTGTCTGACGCAGCGGCCGCCACCTTCACCTGGTCGCTCTGTGTCGGGCGCTGACCCCCGGCTGAACTTTGGTTCAGTCTGTTAAAGCAAACAGACGAAGCAGCGGTCGGTCCGTCTGTGGTCCAACACCGACCACTCTGGTTCTTCCTGTGACGTCATCATCGATGAAGGTTTTTCTGATATAGTTGCTTTAAGTTGCCAGTACGATGTAGCCTTAGCTAAACGTATGGCAAGCTAGCTTGAATGGGCTAAGAGATAGCTGAAAAAACAAATGGCTAATGTTAGCTCATATAGCTAGGTGGTGATAAAGATAAAATACATGTTGATGTGAAAAAAGTAGGTCAACTCTGCCTTTAACGGGCCAAGCCTGGTCCCAGGGCCAGTGTTTGGACATAGTTGATCTCTCCAGTTGACCTTGTTGGAGTTGTGTGTCAGGGCTGGTGAACAGGCTGAAGTGCTTTATTAATGGCAGCCCGTTGGCAGCCTGGTGTCAGATGTTTGCTGTCTGCTGCAGACTCGCTGTTTGTTCTCACTGCACGTTTGCACACATTCGACAGCGCTATTAACAGTAATTCCCATGACCCCAGCTGTCAGAGCAAGGAGAACAACCTGTGTGTGTGTGTGTGTGTGTGTGTGAGAACATACTGCATTTTATAAAAAACATTTTATTATTTCACATTATTTCCACCAAGACGCTAAACGACCATTTAGCATGCACCGATATGAGTGTTTTTTTTAATATAAATACACTTTATAAAAATAAACATAAACCGATCTGTTTACAGCCTGACACACTATATGACACACTATGGAACTACAATCGGAGCACGGCTACAGAACAGCAGGAGCTGGAACACAGTTCGTCAAAGTCCAGTTTTGCAGACAAACCATGCGCGTTCACAGTTCGGGCGCGGCCCCGTGTCCTGTTTTTAATCTGACGTGATGACGACTTGTTTTTGACCTTTTCATACACTTTCAGGACAGAAATGCTCATGGATCCCGGCTGTGACGTCACATGCAGAGTCCGCCGCAGCAGCGTGTTCACGGCTGCGGACTGACGTCGCTGGTGTGATTCCTGTCGTCGTCGTCGTCGGAGCAGTCCGAGGAGTTGTAGAGGAAACCTTCTCCGTCCTCGTCGTCACTGTCCCTGAACTCCCGGATTCTGCCGTTCTTGGACTCCGTCTTGTCCCTGCTCTGATAGTCCGACTCGTCCAGAGCCTCACGTTTTTCCTGGCCGCTCCTGGAGCCTTTCTGCTTCTCGGCCTCCTGGGCCGCCTGCTCCTTGGCCTTCTTACTTCTCTTCCATTTCATCCGTCTGTTCTGGAACCAGATTTTTACCTAAGAAAGAAAAACAAGTTCTGAGTTGAGCGGCGTCGGTACAATTTTACGTCTTGAATTAATAAATGAATAAATGAATAAATGTAGTTTAGTAATTAAGATGTTTAAAAATAATAATAATTTGTTATTAATTTTCACCTCACTGTTGTGTTTTTAAAAGGAACAAAAATACATCAAATAAATTAATGTCAAAATATAAAACGCAAAATAAATTAAATTAAATTAAAAAAAATCACAGAATAATTCCTGCGTAAAATTGACGGAGACGAAACCGATCCTGGAAATCGAACGTTTTTTTTTTTACATTTCAGCAAAAATTAAATTGAGTAATTAAGTATTTTATCATTTTATTTTTTTCAAATTTCTAAATAAATTCTTTAATTGAAATACATTTAATTGAACTGTATTTTTATTTTCTCTGAACAAATGAATTTAAGTCACATTTATAATAAAAATACATGGAATTCTCTCAAAATTCAAAACGTCTTTAGATTAAATGAATGTGTAAATTTCACTGGACCTCAGTGGCCACCGCAGCACTGACCGCTTTGAGGCATGTCTGTACTGGTGTAAACAACCACTGACAGCAGCAGTTACACAGGGAGGGGGCAGAAACACTAACCTGACCAAACGCAGATCCTATATTTATTATTGTTCTTTATTCTTCTTATTATTACTGACCGGTGGTCCACCAGCGCCACCTGCAGCCGTGACTCACCTGTGTTTCTGTCAACATCAGGGACGTGGCCACTTCAAAGCGCTTGGGTCTGGACAGGTACTTGTTGAGTTTGAACTGATGCTCCAGCTCCAGCAGCTGCTGGCTGGTGAAGGCCGTCCGAGGTCTCCTGCATTTCCCCAGAAGGTTGGACTGAGCCTGAGCTGCAAAACAGGAACCACAACAACACGCCTGTTAAAACCGCTCGGAAACCTGCGCTCCACGCCGGCGTCCCCCGGCGTTTGGACCAGGTCGTGAAGAAGCAGGCAGTGTGTGAGAGTCAACATCAGGTGGACTCTGTTCTTCACAGCCAGACGTTACCTTCCCTCTGTCCATTATCTGTCCATTCTACTTCCTGTCAGAATGATGTTAGAAACACAGCACGGTGGGGTTGAGGGTTCACATCCCTGATTTGGTCAAATCTGCCCAACGACAACAACGACGACGACAAAGGACCATTTTACACTGCGTCCTGTTGTCTCTGTTTTACTGCAGAATACACACCTGTGTGTGTGTGTCAAGACTCGAACCCTAACCCTTCACATCACAGCTGAACCTGTGACGTTGAGGACTGGAACCTTGAAGTTCTTCAGTGTCACGTGACCACGCCATGATTTCAAACTGTTAATGAGTCTTTTTCATGAACACCTCTCTATTTTACACCAAAGGATGAAAAACGGCCATTGAAGTAGAGGTCAAAGGTCAATCTATGCCCACACAAATCAGACTTCACGCATTTTTCTGAAATTTTTCTGAAACCTAAGAATTTGTTCCAAATCGGATTCAGTTTGTAGAAGAAAGGAAGACTTACAGTTGAAGTCGGACATTTTGGGCAGCATCATCCCGGCCGTGGACACCCGCAGCCAGTGGTCCAGCTGGAAGGTGCTGGCTGTCAGTTTGATGGGGTCACTGCTGTGGTGGTGGTGGGAGCCGTGCGGCGGGTAGGAGTAGGACAGGGCGGGGTGTTGGCCCGCCAGGGCAGCCGCAGCCGAATACGTGTACATGGGGTGGCCGTAGAGAGCCTGAGCGGGGATCCCGGCGGTGCTCTGCGGGTGTAATCCGACCATGCCGTGCGGACTGTTGAGGAAGCCCGGTTTGGGTATGAGCCCGCAGGTGGAGATCCGCGGCGGCGACGGCGGCGTCTCTGCGCGCAAGGACTCCGTGCTGGCGCCCAGATCCCGGGCCGCAGAGGACGGGACGGATGTAGAAGAAGAAGTGGAGGAGGAGGAGGAGGAGGAGGAGGAGGAGGAGGAGGAGGAGGAGGAGGAGGAGGAGGAGGAGGAGGAGGAGGAGGAGGAGGAGGAGGAGGAGGAGGAGGAGGAGGAGGAGGAGGAGGAGGAGGAGGAGGAGGAGGAGGAGGAGGAGGAGGAGGAGGAGGAGGAGGAGGAGGAGGAGGAGGAGGAGGAGGAGGAGGAGGAGGAGGAGGAGGAGGAGGAGGAGGAGGAGGAGGAGGAGGAGGAGGAGGAGGAGGAGGAGGAGGAGGAGGAGGAGGAGGAGGAGGAGGAGGAGGAGGAGGAGGAGGAGGAGGAGGAGGAGGAGGAGGAGGAGGAGGAGGAGGAGGAGGAGGAGGAGGAGGAGGAGGAGGAGGAGGAGGAGGAGGAGGAGGAGGAGGAGGAGGAGGAGGAGGAGGAGGAGGAGGAGGAGGAGGAGGAGGAGGAGGAGGAGGAGGAGGAGGAGGAGGAGGAGGAGGAGGAGGAGGAGGAGGAGGAGGAGGAGGAGGAGGAGGAGGAGGAGGAGGAGGAGGAGGAGGAGGAGGAGGAGGAGGAGGAGGAGGAGGAGGAGGAGGAGGAGGAGGAGGAGGAGGAGGAGGAGGAGGAGGAGGAGGAGGAGGAGGAGGAGGAGGAGGAGGAGGAGGAGGAGGAGGAGGAGGAGGAGGAGGAGGAGGAGGAGGAGGAGGAGGAGGAGGAGGAGGAGGAGGAGGAGGAGGAGGAGGAGGAGGAGGAGGAGGAGGAGGACAAGGAGGTGACCAGAGCCAGAGGAGAGCTCTGCACCTTGGGTGTATCGACCGCTAGAAGCGCGTCGATGCGAAAGTTCTTTGACTTCTCCATGTGGCTGCTGCTGCTGCTGCTGCTGCTGCTGCTGCTGCTGCTGCTGCTGCCCGGAGGCGGACGGAGGAGTCAGCGGAGGAGTCAGCGGAGGAGTCAGCGCAGGGCTCTCCTGCCTCTCCAAAGTTCTGATGTGGTCCAGAGGAGACCCGTGTCACCACTTAATCCCCGTCAGATGGAGGTGATTGGTGCAGCCGTGTGTCAGTGGGCCGTGCCAACAGCCCGACAACAGCAGTGAACTGTAATCAGTGTTCCAGAAGCTGTCGGCTGCCTACGTCACCGCCTTCAGAGACGGGACAGAGAATGACAAATGAACCTGGAAACCAAAAAGAATTGTCATCCCTAAAATCACAACGACTTCATGAACAGATGAACTGTCAGCTGATGGTGAACACAACCGCTGACCGAGACCGAGGTGTTCGATATTCGATATTATTTCATATTTTATTTACCGACCAACAACAGTCAAATACAACATCATCAATGGTTTCTGTGCACATTTTATTTTAGAATAATCATATATTAAATATTCTCACATTCGTACTGGTCTTCACCATTATTATTATTATTATTATTGTTATTATTATTATTATTATTATTGTTATTATTATTATTATTATCATTATATTATTATTATTATTATTATTATTATTATTATTATTATTATTATTATTATTAAGACTACTATTGTTATTTTTATAATAATAATAACAGTAGTAATATATGTAGTATAGTGTCGTTTTGTTATATATTATCTACCATACAATAATAATATAATATTATTTGCATATGAATTGGACTCAGAACTCAAATTAAAAGTTGTTTATTGCCACGTACATTTACACATATGTGGAATTTGACTTGATATTTTGGTGCAGTATAATAATATAAAAATATAAAGTTTTAAAATATTATATACCTGATAAAAACAACTGTAAAAGGTAGAACTAGTAAAAAAGGTCAGTAGTTTTTTTTATTTTCTACTCCATGTTTGTTGTTTACTGTGATTGTCTGTTATTGTCTGTCTTGTAAATTCAATTTGGTTTTTATTTTGATGTGATATTTGAATTTATACACAGTTTATATTCATTAAATATACGAACTGTTACGTCATGACCTCAGACAGACGGGATGAGCCAACTGGGAAATTTGGTAAAAGCCCTCCTTCTGTCGCTGCCCGGAGCTGAAGGTGACGGACGGAGCCCGGGGGTGGGAGGACGTGGGGGGGGCGCAGCTGCAGTGAAGTGAGAGCGTCTGTAGCTGCACAAGAACTCAACCTAAATGGTTCGAACCCGGAGGTCACGGTGGTGACTTCTGACCTGTACACCGGTACACCTGTCCTTCACTCCTGTGTTTGTTTGTGGATTTTGTCTCGTTCAGATTCAACACCGCCGGGAAACGGGTTCAAATGTAGAGGAAATGATTTGGATCTTTTTTTAATCACAATGACAGACGAGCCGATCGAACGGACCGGATGTTCATGTCCAAACACCAGCGACTAAAACTCCCGTGGAAGTGAAAGTGTGGCATCGTGTGCTGGGCCCGGCTCTCCTGGTGACTCGGGTCTAATAAGCCACTTAAAGTTAATGGAAGAGGAGGTCGCAGTGAGAATTATTGACACCCCGTTGGCCTTAACCTGTCTACCAATAAAGCTGATTAGTTTTGGTCAATTCATCAGCTCCGTGCGCTGCTCCAGACGTTTATTTGCTCGGGGGAAATCAACAAGTCAGCGGGTAGTTTCCAAGTAAAGGATCGCCCTTTAATTGTGCACCCTGATGATCATGACCAATTACAGGATGATAACGGAGAGATTGATGCACGCGGACCGCGTGGCCGCGCGTGGACAAAATGGAAAGAAGACAGAAAATGGAAATACAGAGGGAAGTCAATCCATGAATGTGAGTCTCCAGATGTTCGTCACGTGGTTCCTGTTTGTTTACTGTTGCTTTAATCGAATAAGAAAGAGGAAATATTTCATCTGGACATCCGGGACACAGAATCCCAAACATCCAGGTCCAACTGGAACTGGAACTGGAACTAGAACTGGAACTGGAACTGGAACTGGAACGCATTAATAACAGTGTGGAACCTTCAGTTATATCAGCTGGTGGAGAACGAGTTCAGTGGTAAACAACTAGTTAGCTGTTAGTCAACCAAGGCTGTTAATGAAGATTAAATAAAGTAATCTGAAGCACATGTATTACTGTGTACCCTCTGTGTACTCCGTGTGTACCCTCTGTGTACTCCGTGTGTACCCTCTGTGTACTCACACCTGAATGAACTGTACACGTCATTGAACCAGGCACTGTTTACATCCGGTAAACTGACTGGTTTCTAATCAACTACCCGCTGACATCACAACAAAACATTTTACAAACATGACGTCACATTTCACTAAAATTATTTCCAACAGAATAAAAACGGTTTCTCCAGTTTTTGCATCTTAAATTGAAATATGATGGAATGGAATCATATCAACGTCATTATTATTATTATTAATAATAATATTGACTTTATTTATAGAAATATAACGAATACGTTTTTAATAAATATACATTTTGATCCTGCTCATTTTTTGTGTTTTTGTTTTTCCAGAAAATAAGGTGAATCCGTGCCCACGTAATAATTTAATATCAAATATCACCACGGCCCATGGCCTGGGTGGGCCCCGGTCCACTGGCTATAATAACAACAACAACAACAACAACAATAATAATAATAATAGGTATTATTATTATTATTGTTATTATTATTATTATTATTCTTGTTGTTATACTGGAGTCTGACTCTAAGCCGCGCCGTGTCCCTCCTCAGGTTTAATTTCATTAAAGGGTCTCCCATGAATATTTCTATTAGAGCCGCGGTGAAATATGGAGCCATTTACCATTGGCCTTCACCGATCAGCAGATTTATCGCTCCTTTTCATCACATCCAGGGGAGAGAGAATTAATAAGGACGGAGGCCCGGGGATGGAAGCGGCCCCCCAAACCCTGCTCTTTCCTGAAAGCTGTTAATTTGCTCCGTAATTACTTTCACAATTAACTAGAGTACAAATCAAGGTGACAAATCGGGACAGCTTATATATTAATTACGTTCGGTAAATGTGTTCGTTATGAAAAGGGCCATTTAAAGGGACCCTGCGTCACAAATCGGTGAGTTCACACAGGTCTCTCCCGTGAAATGTGAGGAACTGAAGTGAAAATAACGTTTGAGGTCATTTCTATTTTCTCTGCTTCTCGAAAGAGTAAAAGAAATCTTTATATCATCGTCAATATGACAACAACGGACTGAAGAGAGTGTGTCTGTGTCTCAGGCTCTTCATGTCAGTCAATACAGTCCATTCAATTAGGCTCATGTGGTTCAGTGCAGTCCGTCAGTGAAACACTCGTCTGAATAATACGGTCAAAACACAACGATTTGTCTCTTCTGATTATAATAATAATTTAATCAGGATCAAAATGGAACTACGTTTATTTTTTTACCTTGATGTGCATACATTTTATCGTAAACAAAACAAGCACATTATATATACAGCATATACATAAATTTATATATATATTTCAGCTGCTCCTCAATGAAAAATTAAGAAAACAAACACAAAAACATTAAACAAAATGGAATATGTTCCCTAAATATTTTTATGAACCAATAATACTTATATTTTCTATTTCCTGTTGTCTTTCTCATGAGAAAGATTATAAAGACAAAAAATCCAGCACATAGCATGGAAAGACCAAGCCCCTAGAAAATGTCCTGTAATACTTTTATATTATAGTTTTTGATGGTACCCCCCCATCCCCCCCTACCCCCATCTATATATCTGTCTATCTGCTCTATAACTTTAGTCTCTTTAATCCTTGCTGTAAATGGTCACTTTGATATTTGTATCTCACCTTGTAAATACTGTGTCTACTCTACTGTTACTGTTACTTTTAGTATTACAGTATATGTCCTATATATCCTGCTGCTGTAACAACTGAACTTCCCCGGTGTGGGATGAATAAAGTCTTTTATTAACTCTCTTATTATCTATCTATCTATCTATCTATCGATAATACTTTTAGTATTATCTATCTATCTATCTATCTATCTATCTATCTATCTATCTATCTATCTATCTATCTATCTATCTATCTATCTATCTATCTATCTATCTATTGTGAGGGACCGTATACCTCATGGGGGGCAGGTTTAATGCTTTTATTGGCAGTCATTCTATCCAATCAGCTAGCTTGTTTTGGCGGAAGCGGAAATAGGTGTTCCGGCAGTCCCTTTCAGAATGTTTATGTTTGAGTGGAGGAAAAGAAGTAGTATTGACATTTGGATCAGCCTAAACTACTTCACTGTGTTATTGTGTTATTTCCAAGGCTAAATTTACAAGTCAAAGGTAAACAAATGATCGGTTGTTCATACACGTCTCTCAGATGAATACCCCATGACTGTATAATAAACATGCGCTGCTAGAAGAACAGTTTTACCGTAAAGTCAGACTACGCTGCTCTTTGCTAGTTAGCTGCTGTGCTAATGACAACGAAATATTACTACAGTGTACACGTGTGATTCCATGTCGAGACATGTCATTAATAATTGTTTTATAACACAGTGTGTCTGGTCCTTCTCTTTGTCGGATAATAAAAAACAGCGGTATGTCTTATAGCTGCTGAGTCATTAGCTAGCTCAGTTGACCGGCTAGCTAACCATTGTTGCACGTAAACTGAAGCTGCCAGTCGTAAATAAGACTGTTTTTAAATTAGTGTTTTATCGTTTATATGTCGCCAATATATACGTTCATGTCAGTTTTTAGTTTTTTTTAATTGTCATAGAACGGAAACGTGGTTTCTTGTTCATTTGGCACGTGTTAGAATCAAGTCACCGATCACGGCTGCTCGTCATTTATTTTAGTCTCTGTTCTCCCACTTTCTCTGGCAGAAATCTGTGTCAGTCCATGGGAATAATCTAACAATGTTTAGCTTTGAAGGAGAGTTCAAGACCAGACCCAAGGTATCACTTGGAGGAGCCAGTAAAAAGGTTGGTACATATGACCTGTCACAATGACGAAGCAGGGAACCAGTATAGGTGTAGTATCTGCTTGAACTACGTGTTGACTACCTCTGTTGTTATTGTTAGGAGGAGAAAGCATCTCTGCTCCACCGCACTCAAGAAGAGAGAAGAAAAAGAGAGGTAACTTAGGTTTGTTTGGTTGTTAATCTCAGGACCAAGTATTTGGACTGGTAGATAATGATACACTGGTCTTACTGTTGCCCTGGTAAGGGATGTGAAACAGGTGACAGTGTTAATACACACGTTAGTACCAGGTGTTATTTCAGGTGAACTCTTTGAGAATGGATGACAATATTGAACTTCGTCTCTTTTTGTCTAAAATAATGTTTCTGTATTTTCTTATTTTTATTTTCCTAAAAGCTGTACTAATGCTTGAAAAAAACCACAAAAAGCCAACGTGAACAGTGTTGCTGCACTTTGTTATTTTATATAATAGGATGAAAGGCGGCGTTTGAAGAATGCCATCATCATTCAGTCCCACATACGTGGCTACCAAGACTTAAAACAAGAGGTGAGTGTGAACAAACATGACATGTTGCAGCTTTGACTTCATGTTCTCTCAACAACTGATTCTTTAAACTATGATTTGTTTAGAAACAAGTTTAGAAATCCTTGTTGTTAGAAAGTAATACTCCAAGAGTGCAGGTCAAACAGTACATGTGTTTTCTTTCAGTATACCACCCAGAGAGCCAAGTTTGATGAGTGTGTGAACCAGACACAGGCAGCTGGGTCTCAGCAGGTCTTGGATGGTCCAGTTCTCTGCCTCCTGTCAAGACAACTCATATTTTTTTACAGACAAAGTGTGGATGCTCATAGATTGGTAGGAGTTTGACATGTGTTGGAAACATCTGAACATCTGACATTGTTGAAAAATATGTAGATTAACACCTTTTCTTGTCTCTCCAGATATGGTTGAGTCAGAACCTGGTGAAACACAACAGTCAGTTTGTCTCATTGTTGTTGAGTCCTCAGAAACAGACGTGTATATTTCAGATCAAGAGGATCTTGGGCTTCTGCTGCAGGTACTGTCTATAAAAATCAACCCTTTCAAAGTGCGTATCTGGAATGAAGTGTCACCATGTTTTGACCATGATCACCTTTTTGTTCCTGTTTGTCTCCCAGACTCCTGCAGAACTGCACTGACAACAGTTTAAATGTGGCAGTTCCCATGAGGATGCTAGAAATATATTCTTCAGAGAAAACCTATCTTCCTGTTATTCCAGATCCTAACTATGTAGCTACATTACTTGAGCAGATTTTGCACTATATGGTACAGAAAGGTATGTTTACCTTCCTATTATTATGTAATTGTGAGAGAAGGATCGTGACTGACTGTGATTGTGCTTTGTAGTCAGGATAATATTTGATGCTGTTTTCTAAATTTGACTGTCTACTGTAGTCCTGTGTTGTTGTGTCACAGCTATTACTGACAGCTGAGTGTTTGGAGGTCATTTAACTCTCACAGTATTTACATTTCTTTATCTGAAGTATTCCAGTCACCCATTAAAAATGCAGCCACTTGAATTCATTATCACGACATTTGTTTAATTTTGAAACAAACTTTATATATTTCCTTAATCCTTATTTTCATCCTGTGTGTAGGATACTACAGGTCGCTGTACATCATGGTGAATAACAGGCTCCCGGCCAGTCTGGAATACAGCGGCGCTCCAACTATCCCCCTGGCAAGCACACTGTTGGAGCACATTCTCAAACCTCTGCACTTTACCTACTCCTCCAGCACAACGGGCGCAAGGTACGTCGTTAGAGTGAAGTTAGAAGTTAGAACATGTCAGGATAAATGAAAGAATTCCTACATTAAGCTATGACATCACATTCAGAGTTGTTTCACTTCACTCCATGCTGTATAGAATAATACGTCATGATTTTAATTCAAATGTATTCTTTTTAAAATTCACAGTTCTGTTTGTGTACTTTCTAAGAATAGTTCAAATAACGGTCCCTCTGAAACAGCTGATTCACTCAGAGTGTCGTGGGTAGTTGAGTTGTCTGACAGGTCGTCATGTGAGCAGAAGTGAAGACAGAAGAACAAATGAAATTGTCCATTAAAGTGATCAGACAGACCACAGCAGTCTTCTCGTCTCCTCCAGTCAGTGTTGAAACAGTAATTGCCACCAAAGCCAATTTACAGCGAGCCATAAAAAGCTGCGAGACTTGCTGTCCGGCCGGAGAGCAGAACACCAGGCTGTTTGCCCTCAGTGTGAGACGTTCTTAGGACAAACAACACCAAGACTTCTTTTCTTCTTTGAAGAAAAGCGAGGTGGGAGTGGAGGGACCTGTGTACACAGCAGCTCCCACAGCTAATCATCTGAGTCCACTCACCACATGTGTGTGACTGAGCCACACAAAGCACCTCTGTTTGGAGACATTATACTGGAGCGCTAACAAAACAGACAGTGTCGGTTCATGATGGAGGACGCGCCCCCCCCACTTGCTGTCTTTATGAACTTGTATGAACTGTGTGTTGTTTGTATCTTCATGTCAACATTTCTCCCCCCTCTCCTCCCCCCTTGCAGGCAGTTTGTATTTGCAGCCTTTACCGAGGAGTTCATCTCTGCACCGTTTACCGAGCAGATCTTTCACTTCTTTATTCCGGCACTGTCCGACCTCCGTTTCTCATTCCCCTTCGAGGCCTTCCTCAGCTCCCTGCAGGAGACGGTGGGCTCCTCCTCGGCAGCACAGAGTCAGGCACCGTGGCTGTTCTACTTTGTTCTCTCTGCAGGAGAGAACTGTTTGTGTAGGTGACACCGTTTCTCCGCCTTCACTGATGGACTCGTTATAGAAAAGAATATCTGGCACACTAAAGAAACCTGGTGATTTCTCCGTAGGCTCACTTTCAGAGGAGGGTCTCCTGCTGTACCTGCGGGCTCTGCGGACGCTGCTGCCGCTGCTGCCGGTGTCTGAGAGCAACAGCAGACCTGAGGTGAACAGTGACTCAGAGGATGAAGATGACGCTGGCGTCCATGCACCACCCATGCAGGTACGGTCATTGAAATAAAATAAAAAAATCAGAGCTGTTCAACCAATCAGGTGGTGAGATGTGCATCGTGTGTCCTGTTGACTAATAAAACTGAACTAACCAAAACCACAGGACGTTAAGCCAGTCCTTTCATCACAGCCTTTATCGTTGGATAAATTAGTTTTTACGCTGACACTTCTGCAGGACTCCACGTCACATCTTCTTTGTTTCTCCAGGACGACAGTCGGATATCTGTGCAGCTGATCACGGAGGAGTGTATCCACAAGCTGGACACTAAGCAGCAGACAAACACTCTGCTGACTGACCCTGGTGTGGAGGGACTCGGCCAGCGAGGAGGTTTTCACCATGATGGCGTCCATATGTCACACACTGATGGTGCAGCATCGCCTGATGGTGCCCAAAGTCAGGTACTGGTACACTGGTTACACTGGTCAAAGTCATTCCTAACGGTGACCAATCACATGGCAGATGTTCACATCTTGTGGAGATGAGTTCAGCAGCAGCTGATTTAGAGGAGAACTGTGTCTTTATGTCGTCCTGCGCTGTAAGCACTAATGTAAAGAAGAGTGAAATGTGGCCGTCAGGCAGTTATCTGTGCTCCGCACCCACTGGCATTTACAACCAGAGAGGAAGCTGGGATGTCAGGGAGCTGTCAGCCCTGGAGGAGGGCCGCTACCCCCCCCCCACCACCCCCCCCCCCCCGACACACATGACCAGAGGGGGCAGGGGGGGGGGGGGCGGGGGGGGGGGTGGCCCGGCAGTGTCCACTGTCCACTTCTGTCCACGTCTCCAGACATTCATCTGTTCTGTTGAAGACACTTCCTGTTGACCACTCCTGTGAAGAACTGAAGACCACAGGGAGGTCTACATCAGAGGACCATCCAGTCTGTAGGAGCTCAGGCTCAACAATCTGACCTTTGTTGAAAACTACCCCCAGTAACTACCCCCACATGGCCTCCAGGGGGTGAATACAGTATACTCTGCAGTACTACAGTAATACTGTAGTTTCTGTGCAGAGTTAGGTGCAATGTTTGCATTCATGCAGTGCAAACATAAAGGGGAGCCCAGTCTGATGGTCAGTTCATCACCAGACTGTAGACAAACTTCAGCAAATTCTACCTCCACACACACACACACACACACACACCAGTCGTTGCATCGTTGTCTTTAATTTTTTACTGCTTCCTTCTTCCTTTTCGCTTTTACCATAAATCCTGCCCTTCGTCTTCCATCATTATTGGATATCTGTACAAAATAATTAGCTCACTGAGAAAGATTAATCACTGCAGAAGTGGACGGGATAGCTTTACAAGAGGCTAAGGGGAGCAAATTGCGTCCCTCCCTTGATTTACTGCTCCTACAGCAAAAAAAAAAAAAAAAGAAAAAAGGAGGCCTGGCCAGTTGTCCAGCGGCCGACTCTTTAATAAATGTGTAATATCTCATGGAGCTGCACTCTGCCTCACTAATTGGAGGACATTTTTAAAGTTGTTCAGTTAAAAAAACATGTAGTTTCTTCTTGTGTGTATGCAGTGTGTGGATGGTAATTGGTCACTCCTGGATATTTGGTGTAATTTCTATCTGATTGTTAGCCGTCACCCTGCTGCTAACTGTTGTCCTCTGTGGTAACAGTTAGCACACTTAGCATACTGGCTGTGATGGTCAGGAGACAACGATGTTGACCAGGAAAAGAACATGATGTCGTGGTGACATCACAGACGACCCAGGAGGAGGAGGAGGAGGAGGAGGAGGGCTGTGCTGCTGCTGTCATCACCGCAAAATGAAATGATCCAGGCATGATTCATCAGGATATCCACACACACACACACACACACACACACACACACAGGCCCTTTGATGTCTGGACTTTGTTTATTAGTGCTTCATTCCATGATTGAAATGGGGCTTTTGCTTTTCTCTGGCTGTAAATCAGCGTGTCAGCTGGCATTTAGTGCTTTGTTTCCCATTTCAATCAAACACCCGCACCACTTGTTATGAGCCCACGGCGACCAGCGCTCGCTTCTCTCCCGAGTCTTGTTGAGCTGACAGATGGCGCACGCTCGCCTCGCACCATTTTTCAAGCCTGAGCGAGGCTGCCGTGACACCGCGCTGCTTCTGGAACTCATTTCATTTTGGAAAGTTTTTTTTTTTTGTGGTGGATTGAACATCCAGGATGGGAATTTGAACGTTGGAAAAGCCAGATTCTCATTTTCCTGTCTCTGCCTTTTTTTTTTCCTTGGTTTCTGAGCTCATTTATGCCGTTGACCTTTGACCCCGGCCTCCTCTGCTGTGAACACAACAGACAAGCGTCCTTTTTTAGGTGTCGGCTCTGTCACTGCAGACAAGGGCCCATTATATGCAGAGGGCACTTTATTCTGCCTGTTACCTCACGTACCACGTTATTGTCACCTGTACTTACCCCGTGTGTGAAGAACACACACACAAACACACACAGTTGAACAAAGAGCAGCTTCACACCTCGGTGCCGTCGTCCTGTTAAGAACGCAGCCTCTGCAGGGAGGAATGTGGACCCTCCTCACTGTTATCATGTACCCCCCCCCACCAACCCCCCTTCCTGTG